AAACATGGGAATGCAGGTATTCCTTCAACATGATTTCCATTCCTTTGGGTACATACCCAGCAATAGGATTGCTGGGTCATATAGCAATTCTATCTCTAGTTCTTTAAGGGACTTCCATACTGTTTTCCATAAAGGCTGCATTGATTTCCTGCACTGAAATCCTACCAACAGCATAGTTTAAAATGGCAAGAGAAAAGTATCAAGCCACCTTTAAGGGAATTGCTGAGAGTGTTTGTCAAAAACTATCCGTGGCAATAGTCTAACATTGTAGCTGCCTAAGGCAGTGAAAATAGTTGGAGCAAACAACAAACTAACCAAAAAACTTAAAAGAAAAAGATGGGGAATGAGATGTCCATAGATGACTTTAAAAAGCATGGACATATTCCTAGGAATCAAGCCATTGCATGCATTGGGATGTGTACATGCCCAGGGTTGTAAGCATACCTGAGAAGGACTTGAGAAGGTCATAACCTCTCACCTCTGGCTGACCTTGAGGCTCTATACAAGCAGGAGGTGAAGGCTAAGGCAGAGTTTTAAATTGCCTGGATGAGTGTTGAAGGCAAATCCCAACACACAGAGGGATCCCTTAGCAAAACCTGGAGACTTACTAGTTCTAGGCACTTAAAGAAATCTGTTACCACCACATCTAAAAGATCCACGTCTATATACATCATAATCACACTATCAAAAGACAGAGACACAGTATTGAAAACAGCAAGAAAGAAGTGACTCATCAGGTATAGGGATGTTGACACTCATTTCTCATCATATATCATGGAGGCCAGAAAGTAGTCAGATGACATATTCAAAAGGCTAAAAGAAAATGACTACAGACCAGGAATTTTCTATCCAGTAAAACAATCCTTAGAAAATGAAGGAAATGGAAAGACATTCCTAGATAAGTAAAAATGGAGAGAATTTGTCACTATGGGAAATACTAAAGAAAATCCTTCAGGCTGAAATGTAAGGACACACAACAGTAACTCAAATGCACATAAAGAAATAAAGAGCCCCAGTAAAGGTAACTACACACAGGTAAATATAAAAGACAGCTAAATGTATTTCTTGTTTATAACTCTTTTTTTATCTTATCTGATTTAAAGATAACCATATAAAAGAATAATTGTAAATCTGCATTGATAGGTATACAACATATAAAGATGTTTTTGTATGACAATAATAGTGTGAAGGAGGGCACAGGGAATGGAGCTATATGAAAGCAAAGTTTTTGTGCACTATTGAAATTGAAATTTATATTAATCTGAACTAGACTGTTGCAAATTAAGATATTAATTCTAATTCCCAGGATAACCAGTAAGAAAACAACTAAACAATATGCAGTACAAGAAACAAAGAAATTAAAATGGTATGATAGAAACAATCTATTTAACACAAATGAAAGAAGTAATGGAGAAATAGTGGAACCAAAAGACATAAGATAAGTAGAAAACAAATGGCAGGACGGAAGAGTTAAATCATACCTATCTGTAATTACATTAAATGTAAATGGATTAAACACTCCAATCAAAAAAGAGATTGGAAAAATGGTACATACTTAATACGAAAGATTCAACTAACTACATGCTGTCTAAAAAAGACACACCTGAGATACAAAGACACAAATAGGTTGAAAGCAAAAACATGGAAAAAGTTAATACTAAGCAAACAAACCTAAGAATGAGATGAAGTGGCTATACTAATATTAGACAAAATAGACCTTTAGATAAATATTATAACTAGACACAGTAAAGACATTTCATAATGATAAAAGTTTCAATCCATAGGAAGACATACCAATTATAGACATATATGTACCTAACAACAGAGCCCCCAAATAAATGAATCAAAACTGAAAAAGCAGATTTCATATCACTCCAAATTTAAAGTCAAGTCAAGGCTGACTTTTGGATGAACCTAAGGAAATGAAAATATGACACTTGCACACCACTGTTGCATGAAGAACCCCGAGTTAGGCATAATAAAAATGTAGTAAGAATAATTCATTAATATATTCAGTGATAATTAACTAAGTGGCTTTTAAACACACCCTGAAAAATTAACTTTATTGAGCATTTTTTATTTCAGGGGGAATATCATTCATCTTTGTTGTGCATATTTGGGTTTTGTTTTTTCTTCAAAAATACAATAACCAGATGTAAATACTTTTCTTTCTTTTTTCTTTTTCTTTTTTTTTTTTTGACTGGTAAGGGGATCACAACCCTCAGCACAGTGTGGTCCACACCACGCTCAGCCAGTGAGTACACCAGCCATCCCTATATAGGATCCAAACCCGTGGCCTTGGCGCTACCAGTGCCACACTCTCCCGAGTGAGCCACGGGGCCGGCCCAATATTTTTCTATTAATGGTAAAATGGTTCTTGGACACTTGTAAAACCTGAGCTTGTCAGTGGTAAGAGGTGAGTACAACACTCCAGATAACCCGTGAATGAGACACCTAACAATTTTGAACATTAGGGAGAAAGGAAGAAAAATTTATTCAGCAAATGAACAAAATAAATCATTAAAAAATAAGCAGGTGTTTTTACATTCTTTGTGCTTTTAATGTGTAGTGTTATTAGTATCACAGGGCTCCAGAATAGATGATTATGGATTTTCTTTCAAGAAATGTAGTACTTACCCATTCGAAGACATTCCAGAGAAGCCTGACCCCAGGTTCTTGTATATGAGGACTCAATATAGTAGCAGTGAGCATGGAAAGGAATCCATGCTGTGTGCTCTGATTCTGGGCATCTGCCAGGCATTTGTGGGGGTTCAGTGGAAGGTGTTTCTGTTAATAAAAAGACACTTAAAGTAAAGCAGTATTTGAAGTTTCTGTCTTATGCAGAATAATATTTTAGCAGCTAAAGAAAATTTTATTACATATCATTATTTTAAAAACCTCCATTATCATATGGATTTTTATTATTTGGTTTTCTTTTATCGTTTTTAAAATTTTAAATACACTTTAACAGTGCAGTATGGAATAGTGGTAATCAATCACACTCATAAGTAAGACTGTAGATCTATAGACACCTACTAAGATGTTACATTAAAAAAAAAGAAAAAGAGAGATTCCCCTTTCAAGCCACTATTTTCCTTTTCTAGGAACCTAACCCTTATAAACCCTTCTTAGCTATTAATGGCACCGGTGATAAAACTAAATGTTATAGTTAGAATTCTAGGATTGTGTCCATAATATCACTGATACTGAGGAAAATACATGCATTGTGATAAAGGTTTTTGATTTAGATGTATTGTCAACAACAGAGTAAGCATAATTTCCTGGGGAATCTGTCATCACCTGTTCAGAGGATAACCTCAATAATAAATATTCAGAGATTTATAAACAGCAAATAAATTCTAGAAATGATGAAAACATTCTATCTCCATTGTTTTCATCTATTTATATTGGTTTTTAGCCAAGTCAATCCTTTGTTATGTACAGGATTGTGTTTTGTCTCTTTAGCTACTCAAGACACATAATAATATTAACAGTGGCGTATAGTAGCTTATTCAGAAAATTTCAAATTCCCTGATTGTTTTTGTATATTTAATTACCATCTGATCTTTTGCAGAGAAAATGAAAACTTTCATTGCAATATGCTGTCTTCCAGTAGCCATCAAGGTCCACATAAACACACGCCGATTTCAGTTTGGGTTCATCAGTAGCCCAATTAGTGTACCTCATGCGCCATTTNGCTGTCTTCCAGTAGCCATCAAGGTCCACATAAACACACGCCGATTTCAGTTTGGGTTCATCAGTAGCCCAATTAGTGTACCTCATGCGCCATTTGTCAGTCCACATGTATTCATTACTGGTCTGCAAAAACAAAAACAACCATTAATGTGAAGCCAAGCTTCATTTAGAAAATACCAAAAGAACAAAGTGAAGAATAAAAAGTATATTTAAGACCATGACTTGACATAGAATCTTGACCATTTGAGAATAAAAAGAGCATTATAAATTATTTCTAAAAACTCAAATTCAGTAAATACAGCCTTTCTTAAAACTGATTATTTCTTGGCTATCCCCAGCAATACATCCTAGGGGTTTATTTTGAAAAAGACCAACTAGGAAATTCTGTCTTATTCCATGAAACTTTTTGTTTGCAGGTTGCCAAGGTAAAAAAGAAGTTTTATCTTCACAAAACTAAAATATTTCTTATATAATTTTTGAAATTATAATAAAAATGAAGTAATTTTCATTGGATTCGTGGGCCCCTGAGAGAAATGCTAATCTCTTCTGATCTTATTGTTCTGCGGTAGAGATAGACCCAGTGACAAATGACTTAGTTAAGGTTACATGGGTACATAACAGATTTTTTTAATCTTGATTTTCAGTTAGGTGGGTTTTTAATTATGTGAATAACGATGTCATTTTTTAAAAATCTGATTGTTTTATTCCATTTGCACACTTAATTTCTAATTAAATTTAGTCAAACAAATTTATGGTTACATAGAAAATAAATGATAACATCAAAAATTTAATTATCAATAGTATCCATTTAACAATCTAAAAGAGATTTAACAGGTAGTGCCTAAAAACGGATGATATATAACATTAATCAGAGGTAACTGAATTTTTTAAATATTCAATTATCCCCTTTTTAAAGGTATCATTTTATTTACCAAGTCAATTACCAAAGATCCAGTGACAAAATCAAAACCATGCATCATCTCTAGTTAGAATTTTGTAGTATCTACCATGTTTAATCAAATAATGCTTTCAAAATCATTAACTCCATAGTAGTGAAAACAGTATTGTTTTAGTCATAAATATTGGTATAGCGGAAAACTATTTAGTCTTCCTAAAAATAAATAAAACCCTATTTTAAACTTATAAGAGAATTGTGACTATGTGACAAGAAAATGAATGACTTATCAAGTTAATTATTAAAAACACAGTCAACAAAAATTTTCAAAGTCTTACCTAAGTTAATCACAGAAATTGTTATGAAATACTTTTAAATATTCACTTCCTTACTTAGGAAATACTCACTGCATAAAGTATACATTTCTATCTCTGCATCATGGCATTGGAAACTATAAAATATGACACCAATCCACTTTCCAGTTTTAGCCCCGTCTACCATTTTTTCGCCTCTTGATACTCCTTATTTACATTTTACCATCCTAGACTATATCTATAAGGTTTGGCTTTCTCTGAGAAGCCCTCTGGGTCCTCTCCCCTTGCCCAACCAGTCTCTTTTCTACCCTCTTATAACACTCTGTATATACCTCTCTTTGACACTTGTTTAATCTGGCACATCTATTTCCTCTACCAGGAAGCTTGGTGGTTGACCAGCTGGACGGAAGGAGAACAGGTGTATCACAAGTCATCAGAGAAGACTCATTTTAGGAAGAGTTTGGCAACTCTATTATCACTCTAAGTTCTATGCTTCATCCTTCACTCCACCCCATTCTCTGCCAACATTCCTTTTTCTTTTATGGAATACAGAAAATTGACTGCAATCAAATATTTCTCAAACATGGATAGAGGCTCCACAACTACTTATAACATTTATTGCAATAAATTTTCCTCTTAGTACTGCTTTTGCAGTATCCCACAGGTTTTGGTATGATGTATCTTTATTTTCATTATTTTCTAGAAATTTTTTTATTTCCTGTTTAATTTCTCTTGGACTCATAGGTTGTTTGGGAGCTTATTATTTAGTTTCCACATCTTTGTAGTTTCCAGAGTTTCACTTATTATTAATTTCCAATTAATAATAATGTATATCATCATTAGACAATGTAATGCCTCCCTTTTCATTTCTTATTTTTGTTGTTCAGGATTTCGCTCTTCTTTTTTTGTTAACCTAGCTAATGGTTTTTCTATTTTATTTATTTGAAAACCAACTTTTTGTTTTATTGATTTTCTATTGTTTTTTGGGTCTCTACTGCATTTAGTTCTGCTCTGATTTTAATTATTTCTTTCCATCTACTATCTTTAGGTTTGGATTGCTGGTTTTTTTTTTTTTTTTTTTTTTTTTTTTTTTTTTTTTTTTTTCCGGTAACGGGATCGCAACCCTCGGTGTCGCGCCCGTACCGCGACCGGCAATGGGATCGCAACCCTCAGTGTCGTGCCTGCACCGCACTCAACCAGTGAGCGGACCAGTCTCCATATGGGATCCGAACCCTCAGCAGGAGCGCCGCTGCGCTCCCAAGCACCGCACTCTACCGAGTGCACCACCGGGTCAGCCCAGGATTACTGTTTTTTTTCAAGCTCTTTGAGGCATAGTGTTAGGTCATTTATTTGAAGTCTTTCCATTCTTTTGATATAAGCATTTATGGCCCTCACATCTTGGGCATGAGGGGTGATAATCAGCTTTGTATCTCATGAATATTCATAACCAATAAAAAAATAATAAAGTAAATCCTTTAAAATTGAAAAAAAAGAATGTATCTCCTATATACAAAAAAAGAAAAAAAATCATAACAACTCCAGAATGACTTGCTACATAACATAAAAGTTATCCCCATCACCCAGCAACGAAGTCACTGGCCCACTTTCTTAATTCCCATGGCATAGTTGTAATCATGACACTGGAAATAAATAAAATAGTTTAGATGCAGAATATCATTTTAATGTTCAAAAGCAATAGAAGAGTTAATGTCAGTTCAATAATTCTTAGTTTGATTTCTGACACATATCATTAGCTTGCCAGATCCTTGAAAGCAGGGGATCACTGAAAGATTTGGTCTGGTCCATGATAGTCCCATTCACACTGCCCAGCACAGTTTCTGACACATAACAAGTATTCAACAGAATGAACCGAAAGAGAATCATATTCAACCACAATTTATCAATCATGTCAAGTTGCATGTGTTTCCAGCATCTTACCAAGTTACTGTTCAGGGCGATCCACACAGGTTCACTAGACGATTGCATTTGCATCCACACAAATGCCTGATCGTAGGAGTCCAGAATGCTAGCAATAAGGGAATCGTGAGCCTTGCAATATTTCTCTGCATCGTACCATGGTACCTTTAATTTTATGAGTGAATAGCTGCTTTTACCATATGTAATAAAGCCATTTGTTGGAACTGTTGCTTGAGAATTAGGCAAGGAAGGGTCTGGAATAGAAATATTATTTTCATTAGCACTATCAATAAACATCAATTGGGTACCATCAGTATATAACTAGTATATCTCATCCAGCATAAAAACAATCAAAATATAAATCCAAACCGTCAGGTGTCAGAAACATTTTCATGGGCCATTTTGCACCAGAAAACAAAGCTTTATTTTATAACCATGTGTCTGATTACTCTTTAAAATTTCCAAACTCTATTTAAAATATTAAAGTAGATATATGACCAAGTTTCAAACTAAAAAACAAAAAGTATTTGCAAACTCAATGTGATATATCATCTGAGTGAAAGAAATCCCATCATTTAATACCACAAATTAAAGAACATCAATCATCCTGTCATGACTAATCTTCATTTTTCCAGCTTGGTCAAATGTCAAAGTCAGGAACAGTCTTCCTCCCCTCTCCCTGCTTTTTCCAGGCCATCTATCTATCTGTATCTATTTGACTCCACTTGTGAGTAAAGAATGCACCTTCAGGAGACTGGCTTAGGTTCTGGAATAAAGCCACACACAAGTCCTTGGTTCATTTAACCTCGATCTCAGGTTCAATTATTCTTGATGATGTCCTTTACCTTTCACCTAGGCCCCAACATCTTACCCAAACTGACCCTGGGGCTGAAGCCGTTGTAAGCCAGTGTCACTTCAGCTTTCTGATCTTTCCTCCTCAAACTCCTAGCATGGGTTTCTAATCACTGTTTTATGCTTATCTGTACTCTGGACCACGTTATGTCAAGAACCAAAAAAGAGCTTGTTCTGTATAACTTAGCTGATGTCATAGGTCAGAGATCAACCAGCAACAGCCAGACGATGAAATTTGGCCTGTTGTCTGGCTTTGTGGCCCATGAGTTACAAATGGATTTTAAATAATTGAGGGGGAAAAATCAAAGAAGAATATTATTTCATGACATGGAAACATTATATGAAATTCAAATTTGTGCCTATAAATAAAGTTTCATTGGAACACAGTCACACTCGTTTATTTATGCATTGTCTGTGATTGTCTATGACCCAAGCAGAGCTGAGCAGTTACAAAGGAGACTGTACAGACCACAAAGCCTAAAATATTTACAGTCTTTCTCTTTAGAGAAAAAACTAGCCAACGCCAGGTCTCAGGTTCTATATATCCTTGCCTTCCAGTTTTTGTCTTGGCCAGTTCTCTGACCTGCTCCACTTAATACCAACCCAGTCTACCGTCTGCTCTGTTCTGCACTACAAGAAGTGCCAAACTTTCTTTTGACCATGTTTTGTGAGCAATAACTTCATTTCAACAAAAGAAAGGGCTTCTTTCTTCTGCTGTTGCTGCCATCTTGTGTTGGTATAAGATCATTAAACCAAGAGACCGGGGCTTGGGCAGATCTGGGTTTGTCTTAAGGTCATTGGGAAATTTTTAGACCATTAAAAGTGACAAATGAAGCTTTCAGTAAAACAAAACAAAACAAAAAACGGTTTCATGGGAGGTTATATACAACTTGGAAACTTAGCCCCTCAGTCTAATTAGCTTGTTTATAAAAATATTCATAGACAAAATTATAAGGAAAAAACTAAATATTGAGAGATAATTTCTAGGTGAATAGATCGCAGGTAATGTTTTCTCTTCGTGTTTTTCTGTATTTTCTAAAATTTCAGCAAAGAACATGTCGTATATTCTTTAAAATAGTCATATATATATATATATATATATATA